ACACTGCAAACAATAAAAAAGAGAAGAGAAAAAAACAAAAGGGGGATAGGAACAAACTAAGAATATGAATGCAACAGTAGAATGGCTTGTGTGGAAAGATAAAGAAAATTACTACAATAATCAATGCATAGAAATAGAAAACAACAAAAAAAGGGAAGAACAAAAGATCTATTTCACAAGATCAAGGAAATCAAAGGAAAATTCAAACCAAGGACTAGGATGATCTACAACATAATTCAAGACCAGGAAGGAACAAAAAAGACATTGGATGCAATACAGAGAAGAATTATATAAAAGAGATGACAAAATGAAGGAACGAAAAGCCATATGAAGATGAACCCCAAATTCTAAAAAGTGCAGTGGAAACTGCAATAAGAGAAATAGTGAAAAACAAATAACCAGGAACAGATGACATTCCAGCTGAACTGCTGCAATCCACATTGACACAATCAACTCTAGTGCTAACCAACATATGTCAACAGATATGGAAAATAAAACAATGGCCACAGATTGGAAGTGATCAATTTTGACTCCTGCGTTCCTCTCGTGGCCACATCATTGTTGATGGATGGGGAATGCAGTAGAGCCTGACCAGGGTACAGTAACCTGTTTAAGTATGTTATTGTAAAATGTTATATTGTTTATGGTTTTATTCTATGTTTATTGTTATTTTAGTTATGCGTTATTAATGCTGTTTTAAGGGGGATAGGTTGGTTGGATGAAATGATGTGGGGGTTTTACTGTAAGCCGCTTGGATTGTTGCCAATAAGCGGGATACAAATAATTAATTATTATTATTATTATACACCCCCATCCACAAGAGACTGCAGCAACTATAGGACCATAGCACTGATCTCCCATGCAAGCAAAATCATGCTCAAAATCCTGCATCATAGAGTCCAAACATACATGGAAAGAGAGATCCCAAAGGTCCAAGCAGGATTCAGGAAATGAAGAAGCACTAGGGATCATATTGCAAACATACAATGGCTAATGGAGCGCATTAGGGAATTCCAAAAGAAAATCAGCATGTGCTTTATAGACTATAGCAAAGCCTTTGACTGAATAGACTGCATGAAAGGCTATGGCACACCCTTAAAGACATGGGAGTGCCAACACATCTGATAGTCCTGATAAGGAATCTGTACTCAGGAGAAGAGGCTACTGTCAGAACAGAACATGGAGAAACAGAATGGTTCCCAATTGGCAAAGGAGTCAGACAAGGCTGCATCCTTTCACCCTATCTATTCAATTTGTATGCAGAACATATTATAAGAAAAGCAGGCTTGAACACAGAAGAAGTAGGAGTGAAAATAGGAGGAAGGAATATCAGCATTCTAAGATGTGCAGATGACACCATAATACTAGGAGAAAACCTCACAGACTTGGAACAACTACTAAGGAAGATGAAAAAAGGAAGTGCAAAGGCAGACTTAATGCTGAACATGAAGAAAACAAAAATAATGACCACTGAGGAACTTCACAAGTTCATCCAAGACAATGAAGAAGTAGAAATATTAAATGAATTCCCATACCTGGGATTAAACATTGATAGAAATGGGGACTGCAGTCAGGAAATCAGAAAAAATTCTAAAATGTAAACATATACAACTCAGCACAAAAGTTAGAATCATGCAAGCCATTGTATTCCCTATTACCATATATGGATGTGAGAGCTGGACAGCTAAGAAAGATAATAGAAAGAAAATCAATGCATTTGAGATAATGTGGTCCTGGAGAAGAGTGCTGAGGATCCTGTGGACAGCCAAAAGGACAAACAAATGGGTCATAGAGCAGATCAAACTGGAAACCTCCCTTAAAGTCAAGATGATTAAACTGTTGTACTTTGGACACGTCATGAGAAGAGAAGACTCATTAGAAAAAACAATAATCCTGGGAAAGGTGGAGGAAAGTAGGAAGAGAGGAAGGCCAGATGCCAGATGGATGGACTCTAATAAGGAGGTCATGGATATGAGTTTGCAGGATTTAAGCACAGCAGTGGAGTTGAGATCGACTCAAGAGCAGTTAACAACAACAATACTTTGATATAGATAGATTGGTAGGGATGTTGATGATCTTCTCTTTGAACCTTGCCAGAAGACATCCTGTGGCTGTAAATCTCCTTAATTTCCCATGTACGGTGTGAATCTTCACTGTTTGCACCTTCCCAAACTAGATGATTTGATCTGCATTTTGGTTGCGTCTACATGCTTGTCTCACTTTGAATCAATAGTGGTTAGCATTTCCACTGAAGAGTAATATCAGAGAATCTACACACCCAGAACTATGGGAAATAATCCATTTTTCACAGCATTTCTCATAACATGTATCCACCAACACCGCCTTGTGGGACTGTGCAGCATGCAACAAGGCCTATTTCTGAGGTTTCAGGTAGGCTCATACAAAAGGGGTAGAGAGTTTAAGGGACCCCAAGATCATCTACCCTTCTGTTGCAGAAATCCACCACTAGAATACCTCTTGATCTTCTTTGACCTCTGCACTTTGTAGCTTACAGTGTTTCTGCATCTTGGTTTTCTTCCCCTAGCTCTAGACCCATGCCCACCTACACCCACATACCTATTAGGGGTATTTACCCCCAAGGGATGTGATCTTGTCTCAAGCTGTTAAACATCCTGACCATATAATACCATTTTTTGCCAAGGAAGAAATAACTACATAAATAACAGGGACGATTTTATCTTGCCTCTACCCAGTGTGAAATCCTCACTAAATGCTGATATTTACTCATACCACTGGAGAAACATTTGAGTTAGTTGGAATCTGAAATATTTATCCCTCCTCCCACATTGTCTTCTATTTTCTTTCAACATCAGTATAGTTTAAGAGTTTCACCTTTTAAAGGAAACCAAGCTGAAGATGAAAAACTGTCACCTGCTATTAGGAATGGAGACCACAGTATGGTATGTAGTAGTAATTGTCAAAATCAGTAACTGTCAGCTTTTATTTCATTCAGCTCTTACAACTTAAACATGTTAGGGGATGCATAATTGTCCATTCCCACACCACACCTATCAGCACGGCATACTGATATTCTATTCTGTAGTCAAAACTTCCATGAGAAAGGAGACAATGTTGAACAAAATGCAACAAAATCTCTCCTTTGTTCTCAGAAGAGACTTGGGTTGGATTTCTCTCACCCTCCCCGTAATTCAACATTGTATTTTAGAATATCTCTTGAGTATCCAACTTCAAATCTAATTGTTGTACAAATAAATTGAAATAACTCTAGGAGGCTGGATGTCCCATTAATCTTTTGTGCTTGGATTATTGTTAATAAAGATGTGGGAGAAATAATGGCAATATTCTTCTCTGGAGAGTGAGAATGTACTTAGAGCATTGTACATAGCAGTGAGGCCAGAAAGATGATAACTGGTATCTTATTAGTGAAAAGTGAAAATTATACCTGCATATGTATTTTTAAAAAGAAGAAAAAGAATGGTGCAATGGTTTCAGTGTTGGACCAGGGGCCTTTGCAGATTGCTAGAAAACACTTTAACTGTCCTGGCTCAGTGCTAGGGAATCATGGGAATTGTATTTTTTTTTTCTGAGACATTGAGCCTTCTCTCTCAAAGAGCTCTGGTGCCACAATAAACTACAGTTCCCATGATTCCCTAGCACTGAGCCATGGCAGTTAAAGTGGACTCAATTTGCACTATTTCTGGCAGTCTACAAAGGCCCTAGGTCTCTAGGAGACTGTCATTCAAATCCCCACTAGGCCAGGAAAACCCACTGGGTGACCTTGGGCAAGTCACACCTTCTCAGCCCTGGTGGAAGGAACAAATCTTCCTAAGAAAACCCTATGAGAAGTTCTCCTTAGGGACACCATAAATGTCTGCACACAAAAACCCTCCCAGATGCCCAGCTGGCGTCAGTTTGCCCTTTCATGGTTCATATGCCTCATCTCAGGAGAAAGTAAGCCTCGCTATGCTGAAAACATATATTTTTACTCACAGCAGAAGACAATTTAAATCCATTTCAAGGACATAATGCTGGCAGCATCTCCAACTACCAGGAAGCATACTGTTTGAGCCAGGTCTCACAATAAGTCATGGGATGGCAGATTTTGATTGAATATTAAAAGAAACTTCTTGACAGTAAAAGTGGTTCAGCAATGGGACCAGTTACTAATGGGGTCTCCCTCTCTGGAAGTCTTCAAAAAGAGACTAGACAGCAACCTGCTGGGGATGTTCTAGCTGGAATTAGTGCTTTTATGTTCTCTTGGGATGGACTAAGGGCCTGAACAGACTGCCAGAAATAATCCAATTTGAGACCACTTTAACTGCCCTGACTCAATGCTGGGGAATCAAGGGAATTTTAGTTTTTTTTTTTTCTGAGACATTGAGCCTTCTTTGTCAGAGAGCTCTGGTGCCACAAAAACTACAATTCCCATGATTCCCTAGCACTGAGCCAGGACAGTTAAAGTGGTCTCAAACTGGATTATTTCTGGCAGTCTGTGCAGGCCCTAAACTCTTACCATTTGCCACTCTACTCAAAGAAGGGGATGACCCTTTTTATATATATAAGAGATAATACTGTCCTGCCTTTATATCCTTTTTGACATATGTGCATTTTCTTAGCCCTGCTTGCATCTGGTCACCTCCCACACATATTGCACAGACACCATTTAATGTAATTCATCCATCGAGCCAGCCTATAGGATGAGCACAAACAGTTATGACTGCCAGATTTTTGTATGTTCTTTGTGATTGTTTTTCTTTGCTTCATCCTTTGCATTCTTTGTTACGTGCCCCTAAATTTTACCCTCAACCTACTCATGAGTTTTGGCCCCAAAACATGCCCTATACATGAAGTCACCTTATAGACAAATATATGTTGTTGTTGTGCACCTTCAAGTTGTTTCCAATTGGTGGTGATCCTAAGGTGAATCTGTCACAGGGTTTTCTTGGCAAATTTCTTCAGAGGGGGTTAGCCATTACCATCCTCTGAGGCTAAGAGAGTTTGAAACCGGTGGGTTTCAGTGGCCAAACTGGGATTTGAATCTAGGTCTCCAGAGTCATAGTCCAGTACTCAAACCACTATATCATCCTGGCTGTGCATGAATAGATATGCCATATGAAATTCAAACTCTTACTCCAAAAAGACACTATGAAGAATTGTTGGTGGTTCTGAAGTCAGTGGGACAGTGAATCCAAGACAGGTTTTCTTCTAGATTTTAAAGAAGGTATATCAGGGGTCGGCAACCTACAGCCTGCAGGCCAGGTGCAGCCCGCGGAGGCCTTGGGACTGGCCTGTGGCCGGTCCTGCTACCGCTGCCGGCACGATCGATGTCGCGCACGTGCGCGCACCACCACCACGCATTTTGGCATCCAAAATGGCGCCCGTGCTTGCGCATGCATGCGTACAGTGGCGGGTGCCTTTTTGGAATGCCCAATGGCACTGTGCCATAGGGCATTCCAAAATGGTTCCCCCATGTGTGCACGCATGCGTATGATGTGGGCATCATGCGCATGCGCACATGGGGGGCAAGCACACACACACACATGTGCAAGTGCGCACCCGCACGCCCAGCCTCAGCACCATTTCCCCCCCTCCAAGCCCCCGGGCAACAAAAGTTACCGACTCCTGAGCTCTATAATATGCCGAATTCCAGAAAAGTAGTAGCAAAGAACGTCCTCAAAGTAGGTTCCGCACTTTAAGTCTGTTATTACAGAAGCTGGTGCTGCTGTTATTGTATCACTGGTGATAAAATTGCTGTACAAAGTATTTGGATTTTAAAATGGAGTGAATTCACAGGCTTGTGACATTGAAGGCAACAGTGCTGGTTCTACTACAACAATGAGCAAGAAGACAAGAATAGTAATCCTTACATTGTGTACCAGTTTTCTCATCATGTATTTTGACTGTGGGTTGCTTCATCTAGAATCCCACTCCCATTCCAAGATGTTTAATTAATTATCTCTTCCCAAATTAGCATTTATGTAACAAAAGGAATGTGTCCTTGTTGCAGAAATAATTTCTGAAGAAGCATCAAATATTTCATGGCATAACAGCTAAAACTGAAAATGTTTTCATTTCATGCCTAATTTATTTTGCAATTATGAATCTATTGGTAAACAGGACCCTTGGAATGTTCTTTGCATTTTTGTTTGGTTAAGCTGTTGAACTATTTAAGTCTGAATATGTTTGTCACTAGAAAACAATATGATAATCAGTCACTAGAATCATAGAATCATAGAATCATAGAGTTGGAAGAGACTACA